GAGGCTGTAGGACAATTAATACTCAAAGGTATAAAAGCAGCAAAGGGAGTGTTTGGAATTTCTCCCTATAAAATTATTACTCCATATACTATGAATCAAATTGATGAGTTAGCTAATGAGTTAAATACTTGGGCAATAATCATGTGCAAATCTAATGTTTCATTTGATAACCACTTACCATCTAATCCTTTATTGTCTTTTTGGTCATTGCATCCTGTAATTTTTCCAAAAATGACAAGAAAAACACCTATCATGAATGCTCCAAATATATTCACTGATGGGTCAAATAATGGTACAGCAGCAGTAGTTACCCCTGATCAAACTTTTACATTTTTAGTACCCAAACAATCAGCTCAAAAGGTAGAGCTTAATGCAGTTTTACAAGCTTTTGTGATGTTTAAAGATTCTGTATTTAATTTATTTTCCGATAGTCAGTATGTAGTTAATGCTATAGTATCCCTTGAAGATGCTGGTAGGATTTCCCCTTCCTCTACTGTTTTCTCTTTGCTTTCCACTATACAAAGTCTAATCTGGGACAGAAAAGATCCATTCTTTATAGGACATATCAGGGCACATACAGGATTGCCTGGAGCCCTTAGTTTGGGCAATGATTTAGCAGATAAAACTACACATGACATACATATTTTCTCCACACTAGAAGAAGCTATAAATTTTCATAAAAAGTTCCATGTCAATGCTAATACTTTACAAAAGCATTTTAAAATAACTAAGGAACAAGCTAGACAAATAATAAAACAATGTCAAAATTGTGTGACCTTTTTACCACAAGTTAATCTTGGAGTCAATCCTAGAGGATTGATACCTAACCATATTTGGCAGATGGATGTCACACACTTGCCAGAATTTGGAAAATTAAAATATTTGCATGTTACAGTTGATACTTCTTCTGGATTTTTGATGGGCTCCCTTCATGCCGGAGAAAAAACTAAAGATGTTATAGCTCATTGCTTACAAAATTTTGTCACTGTGGGTGTTCCAAAACAGTTAAAAACAGATAATGCTCCTGGTTATACTTCTACCTCTTTTAAACAATTTTGCTCAACATTTGGCATTACTCATATAACAGGAATCCCATAGAATCCACAGGGACAAGGCATAGTTGAAAGAGCTCATCAAACTATTAAAATGTACTTATTAAGCAAAAAGAAGGAATTGGTAAGGGGTATATATTCCCCAAAGATAAATAACCCTTTTTACTCTAAACTTTTTAAATTTGGATTCATCAGGACTTAGTGCTGCGGAAAGGCATATGTGTCCAAAAAATGTGCATAAGCCCAAGGTACTTTGGAAGGATATTCTAACAGGACAATGGAAAGGTCCTGACCCAGTAATTGTCTGGAGTCGGGGGTCTGTTTGTGTGTCTCCACAGGGAGAACAGCAGTGGATTTGGATTCCAGAGAGATTAACCAAGGTCCTGACCCAGTGATTATCTGGAGTCGGGGGTCTGTTTATGTGTTTCCACAGGGAGAACAGCAGCTGATTTGGATTCCAGAAAGATTAACTAAAGCCATTTCTAAAGATCAAAAAGAAGATGATTTGGCTCAAATCCATAACAACTGATATCCAAAACTCCAGTTTGGCTATTCTTACATCTGCAACAGAACCAGGATGCTTTTTTCAATATCTATTTTATTATTGCCCTTTGCCATATCATGAAGTTCTATTTTGTTTTTTGAGCTCATACAGACCTAGGTTAATGTTTTGCTGATCAGTTCTATTTTTTGACTATAGAGTTTTTAAACATTGCAATGGAGATTTCACCTGTAAAAAATTATAAGGCCTTTACTATAATGTTATGTGTGTATGTATTATATTATGTGTGCACACTTGTGTTTTATGTTATATGTTTGAATGTATGTATGTCCAAATATCATATATGATGAGCGCTCATGATAAAATGGATCCAAATATTTTTTTTCACGTGATTTATATGGTTTAATTTAAATTGGGTAAACAACTGTTGAGGATTGTTTTAATATGTAAACAAAAAAGAAGGTTAACAGATCTGTTTGTTTACTTTCACCTTTCCTTTTCATTATATTTAATAATTCTCTTAAAGATAATGTAAATTGTTAAGAAAATTGTTTTCTTTTAGTGCCTTCTGTAATGTTACATAATTTTTTCTTTAGCCATTATTTCCAGAATTCCTATCTTCATCCCAGTGCTGGTGAAGTCAAAGATAAAACCAATCTACAGCTTCTACAATAGCCATCACTGAACTGCTTGCAGAACTTGCCTGGACACATTGTGAGCTCACCTGTATGCATTGTGAACTATCTGTTGGTTCGGCGACTTGTGGTAGTGTTGGGGTATTTTTGCTGATGATGTCATTGGTGGTACAATTTTTCCAAAAGGAGCCGTCAATTGGCTTGGTGTATCTTCCTCCCTTCTGCTCATCATGATCGTCCAGCTAAAATTTGGGGGCCAACAGAGGTGAGGCAAAGAACCTCACCCCCCCGCTGGTACAAAGACCTCTCCACAGGTGTGGCTGTATACTGCACCGGTAGTCAGTGACGGGTAAGATCCAATTGCAATGGTACCAACCTAAGGACCATATGTACTATTGGACAACCTAAGGCAGGCACGGTCCCTAAGCCACATGCTTGTTGTTTAAACAGAGAGGGGGAGATGTTGAGAGCCACAGCCGAAGGGGCCCCAGCAAACTTCCAGCTGCCAGCAAACTTCCAGCTGCCGACTAATGATTGGCTCACAGCGGCCCCAGCAACATCTAGCTGATTGGCTCCTCTGCGGTGATGCTCATTGGGCTGTTTCCCTGCCCTTTCAGACCACGGAGCTGCTCATTGGGGGACTTTTTTGGCTCCGCCCACGTGACCCAGCCAATGGGCCTCAAGAGCAGGAGGATTGTGGGAGGTGGGGAGAAGCTTGTGGGGGAGAGAGAGGCTTGTGGAAAGCCGGTGGTGGCAGTTGAGGCTCTGAGGGTTTTTCCTGAGAGGCTGTTTTCTTTGGCATGTGTGGTTCTAAAAATAAAGTTAGTTTCTTTTGACAAGTGGCTCCTGATTGTGCCCAGCCAGACTGCGGCAGCCCACAACAAAAAAAGCAGCAATCGGTACAAACTCCTTCTAAGAAAGCCCTGAAGTTGTACTTGACAAACTGTTATAAACATGTTTGAAGAAATATGTTTAAGAATAAAATAAATCATGTTTAAAAATATTTAAGGAAATTAAAAGACTAATGTCCTACAAATGATACTTCGAAAAATGCATAAATTATTTAAAACAATAGTAATTCAGGAGATGAGAAAGAAGTTGAATGACTTCAGAATGCCACTTTCAAACAAACTAAAACAGACAAACAAGAGAGAATAAAATACTATAAGTCAACTAGACCTAAGAGACATTTACGGAAAACCCCTCCTAATAATATGAAAAGAATATTTCTCAAAGGCTCATGTGTTGAAGGTTTGGTCTCCAATGTAGGAATGTTCAAGGTGAGACTTTTGGCAAATGATTGGATCATTAGGGCTCTACCTTCTTCAATAAATATTTTCTCCATAGTACTAGGCAAGGCAGTGACAGATGTTAACTTCCCATCCTTTATCATTACCCACATGTATTGATGGATACATGATTGATGGATTCATAATTGAAAGGACTACTGGGAGGTGTTAAAAACTATAGGAGGTGGGGCCTAGTTGAAGAGACTATATCCTTTGAAGTAAGCCTTTTGCCTGTATCTTATCCTGGACTCTTCATTTTTTTTTTCTCTGCCTCTTTCTCTCTCCCCTCAGACTGCCATAAGCTGAGCAGCTATCACCCACCAAGCCCTTCTGTCATGGGGTTTCTGCCTCATCACATAAACAAAAAGCTGACTTGCTCTTCCAGACTTGGATTGCAAGAACTATAGATTTCAAAATAAAATGATGAAACTGTGTGTGTTCGCGCACACCTATAGTCCCAGAGCCTGAAGCAGAAGGATCAACTGAAAACAGAAATTCAAAGCCAGACTGGACAACACTGTGAGACTCCTTCCACTCAATTAAAAAAAAAAAAAAGTAAAAAGTAAACACATGGGCTGGGGATGTGGCTCAAGCGGTAGCGCGCTTGCCTGGCATGTGTGCGGCCCGGGTTCAATCCTCAGCACCACATACAAACAAAGATACTGTGTCCGCTGATAACTAAAAAATAAATATTAAAAAAAAAAGTAAACACATTAATTAAAAAAGAACACTATCATACTTACACAGTATCATACTTATTTTAGAAAATTTAATTGAAGAATATTCTAGAAATATTTTAGAAAGAAAATGGACAATTGAGCTTCATGAAAAACATCATACCTACCTATCTTCTTATTTCTCTAGGGAGCAGATAAAATGACAGCCTGTGTTACTACTATTTCACAGACTGGCCCTTGGGAATCATCATCTGTAAAAACTAGAGTATGTAGCAGAAAGCCATCAAATGAATTAGGATATAATGATCCATCCATAGTACTGTTCTACACAAAGATACTATTTACAACATATTATATTTAAAATAATAATAGAAATTAAAAACTGTGTTGAATCACTTTTCTTATACATGTACCATCAACTTTGGGAATTATTTTGAATTAGAAAAATACTATAGTCTCTTAATAAGTGTAAAAATATTGTAGTCCCTTAAGTGTTGATGACAGAATGGTGTCAAAGTATGTACTGAAACTGGCTAAAAGTAGAAACATTGTTATCTAGGAAATATTAATGATTTATTAAATAACAAGGGCACAGAACAAATTTGTTTTGTTTTTATATTTTTCGTACTAGGGATTGAACCCAGGAGAGATTAACCACTGAGCTACATCCGCAACTCTTTTATTTTTTATTTTGAGAGAGAGTCTCTCTAAGTTACTCAGGGCCTTGCTAAGTTGTGGAGGGTGGTTTGAACTTGTGATCCTCTAGCCTCAGCCTACATGTTCACTGGGATTATAGGTGTGGTGCGTCACCCAGCACAGAGTACAAATTTGAATATAATTTTTACCTGATAATCTCGAAGGCCAACCAATATGATGTCTGAGGAATTTATCCAAACCTGTAAAGATAATTACTGACATTTTAAAAATATAAATAATTTAAAAAGAAACAACTTAAATGAATCATCCCACAAAAAAATATTTTATTCACCCACTTTGTAAACTATCAAAAATTAGGGGACCAAAGATTAATGATAGAGCACACTGCCCTAGCAAGCACAAGGATCTGGATTCCATCCCAAGTATTATTTTTAAAAAAATGCAAAGATAAAACTATAGTACAATACTCTACATGTAGCCTACTAAAATAAGAAATTTTATTTCAATTACTTAAGAGCTTAAAACTTCAAAGAAAAGATCATGCATTAAGGAAAGTAACTAAACAATCAAAAACTATCTTAAAATATTTAGTTATCCAAAATACGAAAGAATTACTATCTACATAAATGTAGCCGTTCAGAAATCAATCTACATAAAAATGACCTCCTCTTGTCTGAATGTGTGTCTCTTACATGCACATATTAAAATCAGGAGATGGGAGTCTGGGGGAGTTGTTGTTTAGGTCAGGAGAGCAGAATTCTCATGAATAGTATTAATGCTTTTATTAAATAGGTCCTAGAATGCTTCATGGTTCCATATCAAGGCTCAGAAAGTACTATCAATCAGAAAGCAGGCCATCTTTTAAAATCACCAGATTTTAAACCACCTCTAGACAAAAATAGTCTTCAGAACTGGAATAAATTACTATTCATAAGTCACCCAAGCTGTAGTATTTTGTTACAGGAGCCTCAAAAGAATAAGCCTTAAAAGTGCCGATAATTTGTTAAAGAATGAATAACAGACCCAAAAATATTTTTTTATAAACAGATTACTGAAATCCCCTAATACAAAATAACAACATCTAATAGTATGAGAAGCATAAAGGCTAATTAGCCAGAAAACATGTTTCATGGCCTTAAAAGATGAATTTTTAATGACTTCTACTTATAACATGGGGCAATAAATAAATAATTAATCAAATAATTTTAAAACTGTCTTAATGGGCTATGATAAGGAATCTGTTATCTAACATATTCCATATTCAAATTTCCCTAGCATCACTTATGATTATTTCCCCTAATACAAAATCTATTAAGGAATATGATCCATTAATTATCCATTTCTATAGTCTCTTTTAATCTCCATGTTATTTTTCATGGAGTCTAGACCATTTGTTTTATGAATTAGATTTGTCAGATTATTTTCTCCCTTATTATTATATCTACTGTGATATATTATATCTACTGTAGATATCCAGCAGAAATATAATATTAAGTGAAGCAAATGATAAAGATCAAAGATATTCTTATTTAAATGTCATATAAATCACAGCTCTGTTCTATAAATATCTTTTCAAAACTGAATTTGCTTTCATATTAAAATGTTTTTATAATCAACTGAATCTTGAAGTAAATAAATCTACATATTTACCTTTTTTCTCAACTTTCCTCTAATATGGCATAACCTCTTAATACCATCAAAACACATTGCTTCTAATCGTCCATTTCCCAACATTTTGATTACCTGAGCATACACTGAGGAGGAAAAAAAAGATGATATATCATTCAACATTCATTTCAATTTAGTAGTGTATTAGGTAAACTTTAGAATGGACAATAAAACTTTATTTGTACTGCTACATTTGAATCAAACTTTATCTTTTTTTAATGAATATAGTTTGAACAGTAAAATGTCTATCCTGAAAGCCCTTTTGTAAGGTGACACAAATTCTAATTTTATCCCAAGAAATAAAAAAATATATATATATATTTAATTGACAATTTCTAAACCTATCCTAGCCATGCTTTTATGTGATAATTCCTTTTAGAGTAATAAAGAACAAATCAAGTAGTTTGCGCCCAAACACAATTGTCTATTCCATGAAGAGTCATCTCTATATTACAAATGTTTTAGTTATATATTTATTTTGAATAAATCAATTACCTATTGCTTTTATTACTGCATGTTGTTCTTCTAAATACAAGGTGGCTCATTTCAAAATAGATACTGTCCCATATGGACACAGTCATATTTTTATTCTCCTTTCCCTCAAACTTAGGGAGGAATTAACAGTTTAATTATTAGGAGAAATGAAGAAAAGCAAAATGGAGGCACAAGGACTACTACTCAGGATTATGATTAAGAAGACTTTGGCTTAAAAAAAATTAAAACAGAATCAATGCATGGAAGGAAGACTACTCTAGATAGGGAATAGGGGTGGGAGGGAAAGGGAGGGAGAAGGGGAATAGCAAGGATGGTGGAAGGAGACCCTCATAATTATACAAAATACATATATGAAGATGTGAATTGGTGTCAATATACCTTATATACAAACAGAGATATGATAAATGGTGGTAAATGGTGTATTATATGATAAATGGTGGTATAATGGTATATTAAGAATTGTACGCAAAAAAAAAATAACAATAATAAGAGAGCTCAAGTGTAATGACATAATTTGGCATGAACATACTTTATATATAGAGTTACAAAAAATTGTGCTGTGAATGGATGATCATGACTGTAATGCATTCCACTATTGTCATGTATGTAAGAAATAATAAAATAAATAAATAAATAAAAGGAGCATAAGTTAAAAAGTCTTACCTTGACCATCCTCTTTAAAAACCAACTCTCTTTTCTCAGATTCATTTTCATTTTTACCTCTGCATCTATTTTTACCTCCTTTACCTAAATAAAGGTAAGTAAAAAAATTTAACCATAATTATCTGCATAATGTCTGTTAGCTAAATTCTAAAACCAAGCGCTTTTAAAATGTATTTTTAAAAATCAAGAAAAATTAAATGCATATCTCTTTAGCACTGCCATATTAACAGAACAATAAATAAATATTTTAAAAAGCTAACCTAATTTTATCAATCAGATTTATAATTTGATTGATATAATTTGATATTCATTTATATCCAATACCAAATATTCCTACCATCAATGCCTTACCTTTCTTGAACATGTTGTTTAGATAATTATTTTCTAAAATAAAAGTATATATATTAAAGTACATAGAAAAAGATATAGCCCAGGGAAAAATATTAATACTGTGTATACTTCCAAAATAAACAACCATCGTTTCCTTCTTTTTCTCTCAAATAATGAGCCATATGCCCCAGACCTTTCTTTCTTTCTTTCTTTGTTTATTTATTTATTTATTTGAGTCAAAATCTTGCTGAATTGTTCAGAGCCTGAATAAGTTGCTGAGGCTGGCTTTGCAACTATGATCCTCCTGTCTCAGCCTCAAGAGATGCAACATCATGCCTGGCTCCATTCTTTATTATAGTATATTTAACTCCACTCAATAATTTGTCCTGCATATCTTTTCATGTCAATAAGTATAGATGTGGATCCAACATTTTAAACCTTAAAATACATTTTTTCCTTATTCTGGCATCCTTTACTGTTTCCCTTTTATTAAATTATGCTGCATTAAAGTCCAGTCTACAACTTACAGCAGATGGATGTAGAGAAGCAGTAATTGAGGATAAAAAGTTTTGTATCTACTTTCTTAGGTTTTTCATAACCTATACTAGTTTAAGACTCACCAGCAAAGAAAGAGAAAATCAAGCTCTCCATCACCCTATATTTTCACCAGAACCTTACCATGCTAAAGATTTATAATCAAATTTCACTATTTTTTTCTCTGAATTTTAAATATTAATAAGGTCAAACACATAAGTATATATTTTATATTTTATTTCTTTATTAGATTTTCAATTAAGTAGTCACAGAATTGGGATACTTCTCCAAAATATTTTATTCCCATTCCAAAATCTACAATAGCAGTCATTTCCAAAAAATGGGAGAAAGGTTGAGAGTAGCAATAATAAAAGACCAATGGTTGGAATTTAAAAAAAAAAAAAAAATCCCAAAATAGAATGTGTGAATTATCACTACAAAGACATCTAATTCTCAAATGCACCAACTCACTCTTGCAACAGTTCCCCCAATGCTCTGTGCTGCTACAAAACATAGGTAAACTTCTACAATTTCTGTTCTCAATCAATTCAGTATCTGAGGTATTGACAGGACACACCAAAACTAACTTACTAGAAATGAAAAAAAATTTCTATATATAGCATCAATCATGCCAGAACTTCAAATATTACTATAAGCTACATTAGGGAATGGATTGTTGAGTTATATACCAAACATTTTTTTTATATGAATAAACATGAATATATCTTTTAGAAGAATGGCAATTTAAAAACCTACTTGGACATAGTTTGGCATGAACATACTTTATATAAAAACTCCAATGCATCTTAGCCTATATGAGTAAGCCAAAGGATACCCATTTTCTTGATGTGGGGAATGGTTTGTAAAATTTCTAGAGGAAACTGTGGAGTAAGAATGGGCTGAAATCAAAATCCATTCAACATACAGCCCAATATAGTTAGACAGCTCTCATCAAGCCAATACTGCAAAACTTCAAAATTTTCCTTTTAAAAAGGAAATTGTTACTGGGAATGCTACTACTTAGCTATTTTTATTTAGTTTATTATTTAATTCTATTCTTTTTACTCTTTCCCCCTCTATTCTATTTTCTCAGCTTTGCCATCAGGCCTAGCTAAATTGTCAAGTGTGAGAATAATAAATTTCATTTCTACATCAGTGAGTAACATCTTCTAAAATCCAGGATCTTAAAAAATACCAATCTATCAAGAAAACTAGAAGATTACAGATTTATTTACATGTGCAGGAATGAAAGCGTGGTACTTATCTGCAGAATAAGAGGAAGAAATTTAGAAAGGGTTCACAGACTTTTGAACCTATCCTGTAATTCTTATATTCAGTGGTATGGTTCTCCAGGAGTTCATTATATTATTTATATGTGTGTGTGTGTGTGTATATATATATATATATATATATATATATATATATATATATATATATATCTTTTAATGTTTCTAAAATATTATATAATGTTATAAATTTACTAAAGTATACTATTTACCCTGGATTTTTTTCCAAGTTAAAGTGCAATTTAAATTCTCTTCAGATAATATTAAAACTGTGCATAAAACAATTAAAGCTCAGTTTATTCTACCATAAAATATTTGTTTTATAAACTTAATCCAAAACTTATATATCTCTTCCTTAATTCAGATATGTTCTTTTGTTAAAAAGTCCTAACCCACAAGAATGAAAGGACAACCATTTTTTTTCCCTAAAGTTTAAGTGAGGCATGTGGATAGAGAATTAATAAATATTCATTGAACCGTTACTAATTGTTAAGTGAGCTATTTTTTCCTTCAGAATTTATAGCCTAGTTTGGGCTTCAACTTTTCATCACTAGAAATAAAAAGTGAGAACCAAATACCTTCTGACGATATTTGGTAACTAGGGATTATATTTGTTATAATCTGGGAGGTAATTAGAGATTATATAGGTTAACGAAAAAATACTTTTGTAGTAGGAAAAAGATGTACTTCTTTCCATACCCCAAATAATCGGCAGTAAAAGTACTGCTACAAAAATGATCAATCAGTTGGTTTCAGAGAAGTGAAGATGTAATGCCTGAAGGAGTTACTTCTTCCCTCATTCCAATTGGCAATAAAACTATGCTACGAAATGGTTTTGCGGAAAATAAGGTGAAACGCCTGTGGGTCAGTGCACTGTAAACAAAAGAGACAGAATCGCTACCAAGTGTCATAGAGTAAGTACAGGTAATAGCTACAAAAAGAAATACAGTAAAATGCCTGTTGCCCCCTGTGAAGTAAAAAGGAGAAGTTGTCCAGGTCCCCACAAAACAAACAAGCAAACAAACAAACAAAAACACTTTTCTGGTGAGCTGTCATTCCTATTTAAAACCACCATTATCATGAAACCAGTTTCTCTGTTTGTATCTAGAGTTTTCTTAAAGAAATCAAGGGCATTAAAAACCTTAACTCCATAAAAGGAATTTCAGTAACGAATTTCTGTAATGTGCGTTCTTTCATCTCTACATAGGTTAGGCCCCCTATTTTGGAAATTCCCAGTAAACTTATTCTCACCTCTAGTTCGTGCACATTTAAGCAATAAATAAAGAAATAATGTGAATGGTCCCTATTCGTGTTTATTCTCAATATAGACATGTTCGGGGATGGGGGGTAAGGAAAAGTTGGAAGGTGGTCAAACTCTGTAAAGGGCTGGGCTAAAATGAATCACTAAAGCAAACCTTAAAATGTTTAAGGGTTCCACCGTCCCTTTCGACAAGTTACTGAAGCGCCGGGGTCTAGAGCCAAGCACCCGCAAAAGGCCACATTTTCCCGCCTGGGAGTCCTAGAAAAATGGCGTCCGCTCCATATCAAGGCGACCAAACTGAGAAACAGGAGTAACTTCCTCCGCCCTTTGGAGAGCTGAGATGCAGGCATTTCCGTGAGTGAAAAGTAAGAACTGACCCTGCCTACACTACGGGCATCAGACCCGAAATTATGGGGGAAAAGTACCAAGCCTAAATAGAGCCGCGGTTTGGTAATCTCATCTCATTACCTTTATTCTTAGGCATGGCAGTAACAGCAACAACTTTTACCGATGGTCGCTGCCAACTCCTTTCCCCTTGAGAAAGCTGGAAGTATCTATCAGTCGCAAGTTGAGTAAACAAATGTGTACCTACCGGAGCTCGCCCATAAATCACAACAGTACACTATGAGGAAACAGCAAATGGCGACGGAGCTACCTAGACTCCGGTGGCCTGTAGGGTCCTCTTTTACCCCTCCTCCACTTCGCGTTACTGCATGGGCGTGGTCAACTGACTGACACCTCTGAACAAACACAAAAGGTACTGGAGTACAACTTGAGGGAGGATGAATGAAATGTGTACCTGCCTTGCAAGCAGTAATAACGGGAGTCCGGGTGGAATAGGCAGGATCTGGGTATCTGCTGCTGCACAAAAACAGATGTCAGTGAAATGTGCAACTGAAACTTAATAAATCAGTGTACAATGGAGAATTTATTTACCCATGAAAAGAATGAAATCGTCTTATCCCTATGAAACTGGAAATCATTATGTTAAATGAAATAATAAGCCTAGCATAGAAAGACAAATATTGCTTGATTTCCCTCACATGTATAATGTTCATCTCATAGAAGCACAGACCAGACTGGTGATTTTTCAGAGGCTGAAGACAATAGTAAGGGAATGTAGTGAGAGCAAATGACTGGGAAGGGGGTGTTAGATAATGAATCCTTTTTCATAACAGCAAAATATACTGTGCTTTTGCCCAGAAACAAACTACACAGAACAGCGTATCAAGGCCATAGTTCCAGCTTATTAGTAGAGAACCAACTAGCTTAGCATGTGTGAGCACTGGATTCATTTCTCATTACTGCATATAAATCACTATGCAGGAAGGAGAAAGATGATGGTAAAAAGGTCGGAGAACAAGGAAGCCCAAGACATCTAAAAAGGGCAGAACACCTTCCTTCTTGGGGTACCAGGATATGAGTTACAGCCCCCTTCTCCCTGGAGGGAGAAGTTTATGTTACCCATTTTTCAATAAACCCTGCTTTATATACTTGCTTCAGTGAGCTTCTCTAATGATCAAACTTCAACATGTACAGAAGCAGGACTTCTCATTGATAACCAGTGGATCACCTCTGTAAATATATTTGGGTCAAGAACATGCTTATCATTGTGTTAGGGGAAAGACACATGAAGATGACAGGGACAGAAAGTTAAGAGAATAATTCTAAAATGGCCCCACATGCTTTCTTTGTCAAAAAGCAATTTACCTTTAGCCCTACCTGGCCTAAGTGGATAGGATATGTCATTTTTTTTTTTGACAAGCCCCCTGTTATCTGTGCAAGAAGTGCATGATCAAGATAATATTAATAGAAGGAAACCAGAAATCTTTTGGGACACAGATCATAAGATTTAGTGACATAAGGATTTTTCCTCATAACCATAGAATCTATAAAAATATATGGTTAAAAATCCAATTAGAATCAAACAATTTGGGCCTAGGTAACCTACACTGGGGTCTTGGAAGTCTAATGTCACCCAGCTGTCAGTCAGAAGTCAAGAGGTGGACTTCAGGAAGCCATCCTGGAAACTTCTCTGGAGCCCCAATAAAACTGGAAGGCATAGACACACACTGTTCCTATCCTCTCTCAGTACACCCATTTTCTCCTGTGAGAGTATCTCTTTCCCTTTCCTATCTCTTCAGTAAACTCATTCTGGTTATTCTGAGTGCCATATCTGAAATATTTTCTGACATGATCAGAAATAACAGGGTTTGAAGGGGGTTCTTCACTCTGCCTCAGTTTCTCAGAAGGTGCCAGCTCTCTAACAATTACTTGAATATAGCACAAATTTGATAAATAGTAGATGCTAAACTCACATAAAAAGGAAAAAGAGAAGGAAGAGATACTCTTAAACTCAACAGTAATAGATCTTATAATTGAGCAGAAATATCACAATTTTTACTGGCGGTTTAGATTATTTCAATGTAAAAGCTTCACCCCCCCCCCTTCACAATCTACTTTTGGAGAATTACAATTAAGAACATAATTTTCTCTGAACTCTAAAATCTTCTCCATGAAGATACTAGACAAAGACATTACTTTTACTCTCAAATATGCAATATATCAGAATGTGATTGATTTACAATCAAGTAAAGAGACTATATACTCAAAATGAAATCTCACTCTTTTTTAGCAAGTGATTTGGCAGAGAAGTCCTTAAAATTCTGGTTATAAAAGAAAAACTTTGTACATATTTGTCCAATTTTTGTAGACCTGGCATTTACACAAAAGACCATTAAGTATTTGAAAAATGTTTTGTAGATCCATCAAAGATTTCATTTTATTTTATCTTTTGAAACTGAATATCATAAAGAAGTAAAAGTTTGTAGGTTTTAAAGGGTTTGTTGTTATTTATTTGTGTTGAGAGCCACAGCTAAAGGGGCCCCAGTAAACTTCCAGCTGCCAGCTGATGATTGGCTCACAGCGGCCCCAGCAACTTCTAGCTGATTGGCTCCTCTTTGGTGATGCTCATTGGGCTGTTTCCCTGCCCTTTCAGACCACGGAGCTGCTCATTGGGGGGCTTTTTTGGCTCTGCCCACGCGACCCAGCCAATCGGCCTCAAGAGCAGGAGGATTGTGAGAGGTGGAGAGGCTTGGGGTGTGGGGAGAGGCTTGTGGGAAGCTGGTGGTGGCAGTTGGGCTCTGAAGGTTTTCCTGAGGAGCTGTTTTGTTTGGCGTATGTGGTTCTAAAAATAAAGTTCATTTCTTTTGACAAGTGGCTCCTGAATTGTGCCCAGCCAGACTGCGGCATTTGGTGGGCCACACGGGGAACGACTGAGGGTAAGTGAGAAGGTAAACTGCTCACCTCTGAGGGCAGGGCGAGAGGATGGGTAGCCATTTTAAGATTCTTCTTTTGTTATTTTGCTTCAATTTTGTTTTAAGTTGCCTGTCCCTGGAGATGTGTAAGATGGAAGAAAAACCGCTCACATCTGAGGAACAAATAGGGAGAAAGGACGGATGGACATGTCAGGAGGCTATTATAATGATTTTGTGTTGTTCCAATTTTGTTTCACTCTGTTTCAGTTTTGTTAGGCATTATCTTGTTGGGTTGTATTATAGTAGAAATATGGGATCAGAAATTAGTAAAAAAACAAACTGAAAGAGTGTTAAGTAAATTGTTAGAGGAAGGAGGCATCCCAGTAAAATCAATAGCAGTCAGGGCATACGTTGATACAATACAAAAATGTAGCCCATGGCTTTTTAAGGAGGAGTTGTTAAATATATCACAATGGAACCATCATGGTGAAGATTTAAAAAGAATAGAAAAGAAAGGCCAGGGACTCTGCCAGTTGGCACATTGCCATTGTGGACGTTGGTATCTTGTTTGCTTAGTCCAAAGCCTTCAGTTCAGACAAAGGTAGAGGAAGGAGAAGACATATTGATTCAAGTAAAAGAGAAGGTCTCTCAAGTTAGTCAGACAGAGAAAGAAAATGTAAAGCAGAAAAAGCCATCAGGGGGAAAGGTACAACAGGAGACTGCTACTAACACCTTTCTATCACCAGAGGGTGTAAGTGTCCAACCAACAGCGCCACCTCTACAGGAGACTGCTACTAACGCCGTTCTATCACCAGAGGGCGTAAGTGTCCAACCAACAGCACCACCTCTACAGGAGACTGCTACTAACACCTTTCTATCACCAGAGGATGTAAATGTCCAACTAACAAGGCCACCTCCATATGCTGGGAGGCCCCCAGCCCCCGCAGTTGATAGTTGGGATCCTGAGACAAGATCTCAAGTATTAACATGCCCTGTATTTGAGGCAGGAGGGCAGCGATTTTACCAAGTTTTAAATTTCAAAACAGTGAAGCAGCTAAAAGAGGCTGTAACAACCTATGGTCCTCAAGCACCCTTCACTGTAAGCTTGGTCAAATCCATTAACAACTTGAACATGACGCCAGCAGACTGGGCTAATATGTGTAAAGCTGTGCTAAATGGAGGACAATACCTGTTATGGAAGGTTGCCAATGAGGAATTTTGCAAGGAGACGGCTAGGCGAAATGCAGCAGCTGGTTATCCTCAGAGAAATCTAGATATGTTGTTAGGAAAGGGACCTTATGAGGATCAGCAGCAACAAATTGCATATGATCCTGGTGTATATGCACAAATTGCTGTAGATGCAATTAAGGCATGGAAGACTTTACAAGGACATGGAGGTTTACAAGGTCAGTTATCTAAGGTAATACAAGGAGCTAATGAATCTTACGCTGAATTTGTAGATAGGCTTATTCAAACAGCTACCAGAGTTTTTGGGAATACAGAACAAGCAATGCCATTAATAAAACAACTGGCTTATGAGCAAGGGAATTGTTGGTACAGAAAAGTCATTAGACCATGGAAACATGAAGATTTAAACACATATATTAAATTATGTAGAGACATTAATGAACAAGAGCAAGTCGTGCCAGCTGCAGTAAAATAGGCTTTAGATGCCAGAGACATTAATGAACAAGGGCAAATTGTGGCAGCTGAAGTAAAACAGGCTTTAGATGCCAGGCCAAGAACATGCTACAATTGTGAACAAACAGGACATTTTAAAAGGAATTGCCCCATTGGAGGAGGGTTTAACAAAACTAGGTATCAAAGGTATCAAAGGTATCAAACGTGGCGAGATCCTGCCGAGAAAGGTGCGGCTGCCCCAGAGTCACTCCAACGTCGCCACCCGTCATCTCGCCCGGAGAAGAAGGAAACTGCTCTGTTGCCGCCTGAGAGTACGCAGGCCCCTTTGAGTGGGGCGGGGAAGTAGATGTGGGAAAGGCCTAGGCTTGGACAAACGCAAGACAAGTTCAGCCTCCGTGGCCTCGCTACCTACTCTTTGTCCAGCTTGTATTTACAGATAACCTACAAGGATGTCTTTTTTTTTTTTTTTTTTTTTTTTAAAACGATGCAAAGATTCAGGATCTAGTTGTACAGACTACAGACTTTTTAGATATTTGTTAAGGCAACACTAAGGGCAGCCCCATAAAAGGCCCCTTGAGAGGCGAGTAATGCAACGGGACATGCGCAGTGGCAAGGGAAAAAAAGCTGTTTCCGTTTCCTATTGAGTGGGTGGAAAGAATCTCCCAGAATCTGGAAATCTTTGCCAGGGTGTGAGAATG